TCTCTCTTAGCTCTCAGTTACTCTAAACCTCTGATCAAATCAAAGATTTACAATGACTGGTGACTCCAAAACAGGTTCTAAAGCATGAATACCCTCTTATATAAAAGGGTTGAGGGGGGAAAGAGAAAAAAAATGTTCAATTTAAACACAACCTCCTCTCCCCACATGTTAAATAAATGCAATCTTACATCCACATTACATCCGTCTTTCATTTTTCAAGTAGTTCATTCTTACGCAAAGTGTACACAAACTGAATTCCACAATCTAAAAACCAAACCAAAATCACTAGCAAATTTATTAGTTAGAGAGCACAAGGCAAAACAGACTATGTGCACAATTTTTTGCAAGTTTTTAATCTTTAGCCTAGTCTATAACTATTGTGAAATGTAGCATGCACTGAACAAAGTACAGGTGAATAATATTGTAGACTATTACACACTTTTCACAACATACTGCCAAAAATTCTTCAAAGCAGGCCAGAACAGATTTTTTCCTTGCACAATAGCTTGTTATAACAACTCTCCTTTCTTCCAGTAACAAAAGGTTCTGTTACCATTTTCCCTTTGTACATCTGAAGTTTGGCAGATCAGACAGTTCTGTGCTGTTTCATGTAAGATTACTACTTTGGATATATTTAGCTTCCTATATTAAAGGAGATTTAAATTTCTCATTCAAGAAAAATAGGTAGTAGTTCAAAAACATTTTACTGATTTATAATTATCATGACTTAGATTTTCAGGTTTAGTATAGTTTATAACACTAAAATACTTTGTGTATGTACTTTTCTCCAGGAAAACATGGAAGACTACTTTCAGGAAATAAAATCAAATGATTTGCTTAATTATTTTTGATTTTTTCCCTAGATACAATTAACACATTCTTTATGAGAATTACATGTCTTGCTTGCATTGGTATTTTACAATCTATGTTCCCGACAAGTCTCTCCAAGTATAATTTTAGTATTTTTTATTTATTCCCTTGAAATAATTATTTGATGTAAAATTGTATATTTTGCAAAAATGTAAAGTTTAATGTCAAACTGCTACATCTTACAAAAAACATATATTATAAATACTCCATTCCTCTCCTCCTCTCTTGGTCTCTGCCTTCTTACCCCTATCCTCAAAAAGCATAATCAGGTTGCAAAGTGCTTTACAAACATAACATTTGCATGCTACACATGTACTTCAATTCCAGCTGGTTTCTGTCTCTCCTCCCAGCCCACACCAGCAACTATATTTAACGTACAGTTAGCAAGGGTCACCAGGATTCATATCCAACTCCCTGGGTTAAAGCTCTTAATGCATTACCTACAGACTCGCTGTTCTTGCAGTTGTCAATTTTATGCTTTTTCAGGAACCACTGATTTATTTTAACATCTTTTCTGGTAATCTATGGAGTGATCATCTATTTGCTCTTGGAATTGTTCAGTGAGTGATGGCAAGATCAATGAAAGATGACCCATTTTGTACACATTCTTTTCAGTTGACCCTCACTGCAGAGTATATAGAGAGGTTATAATCATTACTAAATCAAGGCCCAAATTCTAACATCATATCTGAAATCAGTCGTAGACGCTTGATAAAGAGGCTTTCCTGCATGAAGTAATGGTACAGAATTAACACTAAATTTCAAGTAGGATCTATTGTGAAAATGTATCTTTATGCCTAATGAGAACCATTGTAACACATGGAAGTGTTGTAAAAGCTGGTTACTGACAATACAGCTTATCACAGGCTGAAATGCCAACAAGGCATTCAAAATAAATTACAAAAATAATTTTAAACAGATTTCATTATGAACTCTGGAGTAAGTAAAAAGATGGAAAAGCCATCTTAGGAAAAGCTTAGCTTAGGAAAAATATTTTAACACCATCTAGTGAAATGCAGAAACTTTTCTTTCCAGGATGCTCAGTGCTGGTCTCTTACCTGTTTTAAGTTATTGGATTTACTTCTCCTAGGTCTTTGCTAGAGAAAGCTTTACAGTACTTCATTTGGGGAACTGGTTGAATTACATACATTCTGTGACGATCGTAAACTAATGAAATTTATAAATTTCAACGCAAAATCTTTAGAGAAAGATATTCTGATCATGTAGTATTAAAGAAGATACTACCAGCTGCATTGCACTGGAATAAAACCAGTGTTCACAGATTCACTGTTTTGCAGGGATATGGCAAATATGTTCCCCTGTCGAACTAAGCTTTCTAAGCTAAATTTTGGGTAGAAATTTGGGTAAATAAAACTGTATCTTTGTATGAGTAGTAGAGACACAAGAAGGCATCCCCAACTGTGAATCTGTAGACCAACTAGGTTTGTTTTCAGAAAGGAATAAAGTAAAACACCATTTCCAATACTGCCAGTGCTTGAAATCCAGATTGAAATTCAGCAGCTTAGATTTACCAGTAGTAATTACTTCAAAAGGCACCACAATCTGTTGATCTTAAGAATATGAAGACACAGTTAACAAGTGAATCATTCTTTATGAATATTCATATATGCTCTGATTCATATACTCCTGCTCTGATGAAAACAAGAATCACATTCAGTACTTAAGGTTACAGATAAGCAACTATTTGAAACAGAGAGGCTTTGGACCTGTCTTTCCCTTGCCAAATATGTCTTAACTTGTCCTCAAACTCATTCTACCTCTCCATCTTAAAACTAGGTTTTAGTGGAAGAAAATCATGCCTGATGATTTATTCCCTTCAAGTTCACATCAGCTTCAGGCATCCAACATCAACTTAGTGCCATATTCCCAGGTGATCTGCAAAAGACCTCTTGTACAATCACCTACTCATGCTCTGCCAATCAGAAAGAAAGGCAGATTCATCATTTACCACTGCAGGCATGTTATCTGTTACATTCTATAAAATCAACATTAGGCTACCATAAACTAGGAAGTTCTCTATCTTTCTCTGTATTCAATCCTCTACCTTGAATTTCAGTTATTTCTTGTTTTTTTTCCCTTTACATATATATATATACACACACAGGTATGTATATACATAGAATGAATAAAGGGGTTATATATATATATCCGACATATACAGAACTGAGAAAAAAAATAGAAAAATACTTCTTTCCTATTAACAGCCATTCCTTTTGTCTTCTTTCAGAAGAGTTTCATAATGATGCATGGCTGGTTGCTGCTGTTTACCATCATCTTAACATAGATGTAGTACTGGAGTGAAACAAAGGTGGTAGCAGCAGCAATCTGCCATCATTCCTCAACCTACTGCATCTCTCTCCAGTGACAGGACATGAAGACAGAAAAGGAATGTAGAACCAGGGAACAACCTTCCCAGCCCAATTCCTCCTCTGCTTCATCCACACAGGAGATGAACCAATTTCTGTCCCCTCCCTTTAATTTGGTGCTCCCTATAGGGCAGAGTCCCAGATGTAGGACAGATAATCAGCTAGAACTTTTGTCACTTGCATATTACCTGTAGTAGGTAAACAAAGCATTGAAGTTTTGAGAAGTGAGACTTACATTAGCCCAAAACATTAACAGACACACCATAAGCAACAACAACACATAGAAATGTCAGCTGTCGCAGTGACAAGATTAGCACTGAGCAATCCCTCAGCTTCTAGTACTAAACTGTACTTGCCACGAGACAAACCCATGGATCCTTCGAGCTCTTCCCCTGCCCAGTTTACATTGTGTTTCTTTTAGTCTCAAGGAGTCCTGCCAATTGCTTGAGATCATAGGCAAACGAAGGGCAAATGCATATCATTTTCAAACAACCCATGTTTGTTTAGGTTTGTCCCAATTTGTCCTTTCCCTTTCCTAGGGGTGAGTTCTACTAACCAAACAATTGCCCATTAAAAAAGGTACAAGTAATTGTAAAAATTTATTGGGTTTGGACAAGTTTATATAGCAGACCAAAATCAAATGCAGAAACACAAGTAGAGTAAATCAATATATCTGGAAAGGTGAGATTCAAAACGTTTTTCTCTCCTATGTAACTCTTCCCGCACATTTAATCTCCACAAAACAACTTTTTTCCACACAAGTTTCAGAACTAGGCCCTTCATGCAGCCACACACCTATTCACATACTGCCACTTCCTATAAAACAGCAACAACAAAAACACGTACACAGAAAAGTGCCTCTTACTGCTCACTCTCCCGCCAAAAGCTCGCAATCAAAAAGCTGGTATTGCAGAAGACGTTTATGGTGAGAGAAAGTGTGCTGCACGTGGAAGTCTTCACCAGCACGCACTGCACTCCACCAACCTCTCTCAGATTCACAGTCACTGACCCAATAAATTAATATTTTAACATAAATACCACGCAAAACTAAACAAATGACCACATATCAAAGTCTGTGACTACTCACTCTCTTTGCAAATGGTGAGGAGGAGGTGTTTTGAATCATAATACTGCAATGACATAAGTGCTGAACTACAAAGCAAGAGATGACATCTCCTCCTACTTTTACCTCACTTAATTTTGTCTTGGTAAAATAACTCATTATAAGTGGTTCACCTTCCAGATGTTCTTTTCTGAATATTCTTTTAACTGTCTTATTTCCTTCACATGCCTCTTTTCCAAATACATCTTTTTCATCCGCAAACACTTCAAGTTTAACAGAGATGCAAAGTGCAAAATAAGGAAGAAGAAAAAATACAATCTGCTCGCTTCCATTTAATAGAACTGTATCCTACTGTAGCAGAATGCCATGACTGACAGCACACTCTCTAATATCAATAATATAGCTTATTTCCCAACCTGCTAGCCGAAACCAAGTTTCAAAGCCTCCCTCTCCCCGAGAATAAGTGCTCAGCACACAGGAGCCGTGTCTACATAAGAGTTTTCTCAACAGGACAGAGCCCTTAACTCTAACAGCAATTAAGTAAACAAGAAGAGAAGCAACAGGCACTGTTTCCAGTCACACCTCCAGCAGGGTTCCCGTTCCCGTTCAGCAAGCAGCCCCATCTCCACAGAACCTGCGCGCCCTCCGCCTCTGCCCCCGCGAGGCGCCGCAGCCCTTACCACACAGCCCGCGCCCCGACCGGGGAGCCC